AACCAAGTTTGCTCAATCTCATCAAAAACTTGAATAGTAATCATGTTGTCCAGCATTACTTGCAATCCTTATCAGCTAAGAATAATAAGGCATGTGTGTGTTTTTCTTGTATGCATGATTGTTGGTAGATGTTCTAGGATGCCTCTAATTTGGATTTTGAACTGATGTCTAATTTCTCAGTATGTTTGTTAGCGCCATTTAATTGTTTTTTGGAATTGTCGTATGTTTCAAAAATATGATCATGTGTAATAGTTATCAAGTTTATTTTTTGTCAAATTCTTTTAAGGTTCATTGTAGATACATCCACTATACTATATGTGACAAAACACTCATTACCCATATTATTTTATTAGCACTTACACCCTATGATACCCAAATAAACCTATCCCTTTATCATTTAGACTCATTACATAGTTGTCATGTGATGCGAATGTATTGCAGAGAGATTCTCATATATGTATTGCAGAGAGATTCTCATATATTTCAGTGTGTTGTAGAGACCCCCTTTTTCTCTTATAGGTACGATTGGTGGAGAGAGAACTCTGTTGAGGCATTAAGCCAATAGAAAAGTTTAGGGATAATAAATGACTAATCTCAAGATGTGCATTTGTAGCTAACCTTTTTTTTCTTAAATTGAATTATGGTAAATATTGTTATTAAAAGACATCTAGCTATTTTGTTAATCCATGCTATAACAAACATTTATTTTCCATTTTACACTAATGCTCTATGTAAAACTTAGTTGTAAATTATAAGATGTGCAATATGTAAACCTTTTAAGAAGAGAGATAACAAATCATTGCTCTTGTTCGTAGTGATTTTTGTGTGTTATGCATGTTCATAAATGGATCACTTAGAAGAGGCAACTGTGGGACATTTGTTTTATATGTAATCCCACTTTTCCTACTCAAATTTATTGTGCTAGGTATCTTCCTCATGAAGAATTAATATTGCAATTAATTATGTGTTAGATTTTACCTAATAATACCGATTGATATGAGTTGGCATGGCCCTTTAATTTTAATAATTCCTAATCTATACTATTATGTGTCATATTCTAAGCATTAAATAAAATATATTTTATGCAAAATTTGTTTAACACTCCTATTAGCTAATAATAATTTAGTGGTCAATCAAAAACATAATTCCCTAGAATCCAAAACCCATTGAACTACATGATATCAATGCTTAACCTAAAATCTCTTATTGGTAAATTAGATATTTAATGGATTGCACTATTGGAGGTGTCATTAATCTTTATGCTATTTGGAGTTTCTAATCTTGGGGTGGAGATGAAGCTCAAAAGCCAATCATTAACGTAAAAGCCCACCGATTAAAGTCCAAAAGACAGCAAGGCCTTTGAAATTCTTTTGCTGATTTCTTTTTACCCACAAAAAAAATTCTAACTTCCCTTATTCATTCATATACAAGTTTCTTTTCCTCATCCATTTCCTATATAAACATCAAAACATCATCTCAACCTCCCTAATTATATTCACTTTTTTCATTGAAGAAAGAAGAAAATTTAGTCTTTTCTTATTAATACTGGCGGTGATGATGAAACTCAGATTCTTCACTTTTGCATTAATGACAGTTGTGTTGGCTTCCGCGATGGTTAACAACATTGCTGCAATGGAGGCTCTGTGTCGAGTTCAAGCTTGGTCACATTCACTACTGCTCTTGCTATTGCTAAGTTTTCGACCAATATTGCATTTGAGTTCCTCTTGCATTGATTTGGATCAGGTTTTGTTTTGGTCAGAGTTGGGCTTGTATCTAATTTTACTTGGGCATTTAATTTGATGACTGGAGCCTAATTTTTTGGGCAGTTGTAGGGCAATAAAAGGATGTTTTTGTTGACAAGAGATGTGATTTAAGGATTATTATTTTTCATCTGTGTACGCTAATTCTTTGATTTCTTTCATTGTGATTTATTTATTTCCTGTTTATCTTATTTGTTCAATTTATTTGTCATTAACTTTTCTCTATCGTTTGATATTTCTGTAATAACCTAGAAAATTTTCCAATTGAGAAACAAATTGATGGGGGACGGTGCGGGGGCCATGACCCGAAAGTATATGGCTTTCGAATGTGTTGCCTTTGGCGCTAACCCGGATCCGATGGGAAAGCACAAGATTCTTAATACTGTGAATTTTGATGGGTGCTCAAATCTGAACGTGATCTAAAAGGAGGAGACGATAAATTTTTTAGTCGTCAATAACTTTTCAGAGTCGTGTTGTAAGACATTGGTGGCGATGGATCATAACTCATTAAGGGATGATCGGAGGAGAGTCGGCCATGGTGATACTCAAGCGGGGGTCGTCATTGGCGTACGCAATCGGATTCGAAGGATTGTGGCATCATCGGAGGCGAATGATGTCGGATCTCGAGGCTGCGGAGGACACTATTCATCCGTGAACATTAACTTTTTTTGACTTGTGATTGAGATCGGATGGTTAGGATTGAAAGTGAAGAAATTTAGATAAATAGCTAGGCACCACACCTAGAAGCTTCACACACATGAGCTTCACACCCCAATTAAAAGCAAATCACATACCAAAGAACACCTCACATGCTCAAGAGAGAATTCTCAAACTTAAATTTTTTTTATTCATTAATGTCTATCGCTCATGGAGAATTATATCTCTTATTTATAGGAAAAGAAAGTAACTAAACACTTAAGAAAATAAATAAAAATCCTAATCAAATCAAAATCAAAACCCAAGATAACTAAAAGATGCAATCAAATAAAATCCTAACTAAAATAGAAAGAGATTTCTAAATCAAATCCTAAAGAAATCCTAACTAAAAAGAAGATTGCATAGAATAAAAGAAAATCCTACCCAAAAAGAAAAGATTAGAATAAATCATAATCGCATTATATGGAGGGTCCACGATTGTCCTACATCAAATCTCCCCTTATTTGAAAAAACTTGACCTCGAGTTTTATAATGAGATAGCGTAATATTTGACTTGATTGGTGAGAAGAATATTATTGTAGATTGGAAGATCTTCAAGATGAGCTGTAAAACCCGATATTGAGTTAGTGGTGGAGGGTCTGGAATAACAACTCAATAACCAGATTATCTTAAAATTTGCACCGCATATCGAACTTAAGTTCTGATTCTAGGCTTGACTTGAGCTATGGTTTTGATTCAAGCTTGAGCGTTAGATTGACTTGTTGCCTTGTTTTTTATTCCAACTCTTGTTTAAGCTTGGGCCATGGATCTATCTTTTGATTTGTTTCTTACGGCTGCAGTTCAGGCTCATACTCCGTATTGATCTTTTGATCTACATCTGAATATGACTGACTCATGCTCAAGCTCGGGCTTTGGTTCTTGATTAAAATTTTGATCTTGCTCTACTTTCTCGTCCTACTCAAGTTGAGGCTCCGGAATTGGATTGAAATCAAATTTTGATTGAAGATCCACATCTGGTCAGGATTGAGGAATTTGTGTTGGCTTTGCTTCAGAATTTGAAGAGAAACAATATCTTCTAGATGGTGGACTAAAGTATCTCCTCTCCAAAAGAGCTTTCATAATTGTCCATGATGGATGTTTGAATGATAATAGTTTCTATACCACCAATATTTTGCCTCTCTTTAACCTACACTCAACATATAAATACATTTCTAATTATGACATATCATAGATAGAAAATATATCTTCTATATTGAAAATACAGACGTCAAATTCATAAGGCTCCTCATATCCATCAAATCCATAAAAGTAGGCTAGGATATCAAATTTAAGTGGATTAAAATCATACCCTTGTGAAGGAGATAGCGGTATTTTACCATTGATAACTGTGGATCCTTCGGCACTGATACCAAATGATGGGGGTCGAGGAAGAAGCTCCGATCCGAAAGTAAATGGCTCTCGAATGTGTTGCCTTCGGCGCCAACCCGGATCTAATGGAAAAGCACAAGATTCTCGATACTATGAATTATGGTGGGTGCTCAAATCTGAACGTGATTTGGAGGGGGGGACAGTAAATTTTTTAGTCGCAGATCTTTCCAGAGTTGTGTAGTAAGACCTTGGCGTCGTGGGATCATAACTCATTAAGGAACGATCGGAGGAGAGTCGGCGATGACGATACTCAAGTGAGGGTCGTTGTTGGCGTACGCAATCGGATTCAAACAATTGTGGCATCATCAGAGGCGAATGGTGTTAGATCTCAAGGCTGCGACGGACACCGTTCATCCGTGAGCAGTAACTTTTTTGACTTGCGATTGAGATCGAATGGCTAGGATTAAAAGTGGAGAAATTTAGATAAATAACTAGGCCTCACACCTAGGGGTTTCATACCCAATGGCTTCACACCCCAATAAAAGGCAAATCACATGCTAAAGAACACCTCACATGCTCTAGAGAGAATTCTCAAACTTAATTTTTTTATTCATTAATGTCTTTCTCCCATGGAGGATTACACCTCTTATTTATAGGAAAAAAAAAGTAACTAAACACTTAAGGATAAGTAAATAAAAATCCTAATCAAATCAAAACCAAGATTGTGTAGGGTAAAAGATCTTTCTCTCCTTTGTTTACCATTTTAAAACTGAGATCTTATTTTACCTCTAATAAAAAAATGGTTTGCGAGTTGCGTAATTAGCCACATAACTACATAAGCAAGTACTTCTGAGGAAAACTCAAAATGCTAAGTTGAAACTTTTGGGAAAAGTTATAATTAGGTATCACACTAAGGCTGACCATATGTAGATGAAGTCGCTCATAAGAACAGTTGAATGCTTTACAAAAGTCGTAGAGTTCAATAACTTTATGGGAAAAAAATCATAAAATAAATGAGAAGTTCACACTTGACATAACATTAACAAAGCCCTATATTCCTTAGAAAAAATATATATAGTAATTATAATTAAAGAGTAAACAGTTATTTTTAAAAACCTGCAGAATTGAGTACTATTATTACAATTAGAAACAATTTAGAAACTGACAGCTACTTCCTGAAAGCATCCATAAAAAGTTGCTTGAAGATGAACATACCTGAACGTATGTGTTAGCGGCAGGAAGAAGGTGCAAATTCTCAGACCCAGTAAAAGCTAAACATAGAAAGGAACCAAAAAAACAAAGTGTGAAAATATAACCATGACTCCAGAAATGTGGTTATACTGATGCTTTGTGTAAAACCAGTAATAAGTGAATTCAAATTGGCTAACTGAATTCATTTATGAAAACTCCATAACATCTATTGGCCCAAACTTCAAAAGTGCAGGCCATTTTAACATTCATGAGATCAGCTGTTATATTGCAAGATTGACACATCACCAATAGAAAAGTTAAATGACTTCAAAGAAGATTATTTTGGTGGAAGCAGGTCACTTCTATAAGATTTTGCTTACCAGTTAGTACCCGTACACCCAACAACTTTGTAAATAGAAACATTCCACAGCCACAAGCAAATGCAACAAACAGCAACATTGATATCTGATGTTGCGCCAAATTTTTATCCTGCATCCATATTAGAGATGTTAAGTGCAAAGTTACATGAAATAACCAGGACACACATGAAATAATATTTTTGCCAAATATAGATTTCTGAAATGCAGCTGCTTTGTGTAAATACCATGTCTACAGACATAAAATCAAGGCAGAGATTCCAGGCATTTGTTGAAATAAAAATATCCGTAAACGAGCATGTATCTTATTAAGCAGGACAGTTAGAGATCCCAACAGTCAGTAAATAGGAAACATAACTAAGATTTTGCATATCCAACAGTCAAGCAATTATAGGAAGTTAAGAGTTTACAGGCTTGGGTGTATGTTGTAGATGTAGTGTTTCAAGACACAAGTTAGCATGGTTAAAATGTGGCTTCTGTGCAAGTAATTATATAAGCAATCAAGATAAATCCTATAAAAGGGATGATGCTTAACAGAGCTGAGGAGTTCATGCAGCCAAACATAAAGGTCAAGGATATGGCTTTGTTGTTGATGTTGTTGCAGATTGGCACAGTTAACCTCTCAAGACGGTAAAGAGTGAAGCATCTGTAAACCCTTTGAATGTCAAGGATTACACGCACTAATGTTTAATGATCATTCACACACCTAACTCATTCACATAATTATTTGTAAGTTTCGCAAGATTAAGGACTATCATGAGGCGATAAGCTCAGTTAGAAGATGAGTTGGCATAATCATGAATATGTGATGACAATGTGGTGCAACTACCAACCCAGGAATAGACGAAAAGTGATCCTATGATATATTATGAAGTTTATGTTCCACATATATAGTCTTTAAATTCACAATGTCCCCAAGAACGGAGACACCAAAACTTCCATCATTATATATTCGCCTACCCTGACTAAACAAAAAGCTATCCACTTTATCCTTATTCATACCCAATAAGCTCAAAATTTCACAACTGACCTTTCTAGCAAGTGAAGTAGCAACCATGTTGGAAGTAGCTATAGACAAGAACATGAATTTCACAACTGACCTTTCTAGCAAGTGAAGTAGCAACCATGTTGGAAGTAGCTATAGACAAGAACATGAATATATAGCTCAAATTATCACAAAACAGAAGTAGCAACCATGTTGGAAGTAGCTATAGACAAGAACATGAATATATAGCTCAAATTATCACAAAACACCGTCCCCGGACCTTCAAGCAAAACAAAAATAAAAACAAAATCAATAACCCAAAAAAGGAAAAAAGGATTTTTTTTTCCCCTTCCCTTAAATGAAACTTGAAACTACCCAATGCAGCGAGCTCCAGAGAGCTGCCTTGGCCAATGACCATGGTGTCGATCAGGCTCATGAGGGGCCCACAAATCCACAGACCAGTGGCGGGCCCCGCGAAGAGAGCGATCTCCTTCATCTGCTTCCAGATGCTTTGCGAATCCGACGAGATTGAGCTCGGTTCTCGCTCGGTTCCGACCTCGGAGTCGGTTCGTTCGACGGCATTGTTTTGGGGATGGGAAGAGCAAGAAACCCTAGGTCTGAGCTTGAGCCTGCTGAAGGGCTCTGGGTTTGGCCTGAAGCGAGGAACTGAAGACGGAGAAGGGGAATGGAGGAGAAGGCGAGAGGAGACTGGAAAGAGGAGGAGAGGTTTTGAGGAGGCGACGAAGCGGAGACCCATGGAACGGTTGAAGAAAGAAGACGAAAATGAAAGAAAGGGAAATGGAGAAGAAAGAAAAATGTGGCGGTATTAGTTGGAGGCTCTCCAAATGGGCCGCTTTTTGGGTGCTTGGTATTGGTATTGGTATATGCGCGTGCGCAATACATGTCATCCAAAATATTAAATTGGTTTTTTTAATAAGTTTTTTGGGTCTTTTAGATATTAGTCCCTTACATCTTCAATAATTGCATATTAGTTCCTCAAGTCGTGGAAACTACATATTAGTCCCTTACATCTTCAATAACTGCATATTAGTCCCTCACATATTCAAAATTTCATGTTAGTCCCTCATATCCTATGGGGTCTTGCAAAATAGTCCTTCAAGTTAAATCACAATAGATTGATTTGGGGAGAATATTCCGTCTAATCTAACGGCTATAGGCAAATGACCATCTTACCCCTCTATAATGTTCCTCAACCTATTTCTTGATAGGTTCAAAACTAATACATGTTTAAAATAAATCCAAACTCACCTGAACCAAGTTCTTCTCCAATGGTTAGTAAAAAAATCCTAGCCCAAAATCGAGCTTCACAAAGGTAAAAAAACATTGGAGAGAAGAGTTTGGAGATTGTAGAATTTAAGTTAGGAGTTAACCTGACCATGATTAGGTCTTTTAACTAAAATACTAACAGAGTGACCATTTCGCAAGACCCTATAGGATTTGAGAGACTAATATGCAGTTTTCAAGATTTAAGGGACTAATTACAATTATTGAAAATTTAAGGGATTAATATGTAATTTTTAAGATTTGAGAGACTAATACGCAATTATTGGAGATTTAAGGGACTATTATCTAAAACCCTTTTTCAATATTTTATAAAGAGAAAATTTCTTTGATGACCCTATATTTTGAAAGGAATGTGTCACAACCTCGAGACTTAGTTTGAGAAGTAGATTGTTAGAGTATTTTGGTTTTGTTCGAAGAAAGGGATCAATGAAGAAGAAGAATAGAGGCGGAGGCAAGAGGAGGGTGGAGAGGGGAGAGGTTTTGAGGAGAGGACAAGCTGGAGATCCCATGTGATAGTGTTGTGTGTGACAATATGTATGTTGCTAGCGCACAACCAAGTTATGGTATAGAAAAAGTCGAACCATAAGGAGGGGTCTCTTTGATTTTTTTTAAGTTGGAGATTTTCCTTTTATTTTTTATGAAGTTGCTTCAAAATAATTTTTTATTAAAAAGGCTGAAAGTGGGTTCATGGGTTTATTTTACAAAGCAAACAAAATGAAAACTAGAAAGAGGGAGAGTTAAGAATAGGAATGCAATTAAGAAAAGGAAAAAAATGAAAAAATGAAAATGAAAGAAACAAAAAAGAAAAACAAGAGAAAAGGGGGAAAATGGAGAGGTAAAAGAACTAGAAATAAATTGCAAAAATTAAAAGAATTAGAAAACAAAAGAAAAGATGAAAACTAACAAAAGTAAAAACTAAGAGAGAGAGAGAGAGAGAGAGAGTAAGAGAATTAAAATAGAAAATTAGGATAGATTCCACTAGATAACTATTTATTAGATCTAGAAATTACTCTCTTTTTTATGCATATTCATCAGAATTAAAAAGCATAACATGTCAGTCTAATTAAAGATAACATAGCTTATCAAGATAGATTCTAAGAAATAAAATTGAAATTTATGCATTGATAATATCAATTGAAAATAATAATCTTAGGATACTAATAAGCATAGAGTATCAAACCACTTAAGAAGGTATAACCTATCAAATTAGAATATTCTATCAACTATTATTTTAATTAATTAATCTCTACATCAATAGATAAGGCATAAACAAGAGAAATTCTAATTCTAATATATAAGTTATACTAGTTTCCTCTAATTCTAAATATCCTAAGAATTTTAGTCACACATTTTAGTAACTCCTAAATTATGAGAAAATAAAGAAAGCATGAATAAAAAGATAAAAAAGAAACTAATTTTAAAAAGTAAATAAAATCAAGAAATAAACTAACTATCTAAGCATTAAAATAAAACTACTGCTAAATTAAGCAAGAAAAACTAACTAAGCATGAAAAAAAAGCAAAACGAAAGCATGAATTAAATGGAAACTATTCCATAAATATACATTTCTAATTAAATAAGAAAATTCAAAAACTAAAATAAATTCATATTGCAAGGGATTGCCCCCCTTGTTTAGACTCAATTTTCTTTAAGTTTCACGAGGAAAAGAAAATTAAAAAGAGGAAAAAATTTATTTTTATTGTAAAACTAAAGTTTTACAATATTTAGAAGGTCTTCCCAAAAAGTAGCCCTCTTATCCTATAAAAGAGGATCTACAAAAAATTTTACATTTCTCACCCTCAATCTCTACACCTATTTATAGATTACATAAATCTGTTGGTCCTATGGTTTTGATGATGATTTGTCAAACAATTTATTGCTAATCTGTTTTATAGTTTTTGTGGTTTGTTTTTCTCTTTGTAGGAATTCAACACATGGCGATCAAGAGTTAAAGATTCAAGTTCATATGTGCACATTCACCTAGGTATAAGAGAAGTGTATTTACATATATCGTATGACTATATTTAAGCTCAATATGTAAACACAACACAAGTTTGACTTTTTCTATCATACAAATGATTTTTTATCAAACTTTATTACAATAATTTTTATTTCATGTTTACATCTCTCTCATACTTCATAATATATATATAATGTATGCATAATATAAATACACATGTTTACAAGTCATAGTTCAATTTTTGTGTTCACGAAAAACATGTTTTATATATACTTTTCAAAAACAATGAGTTTTCACAAACGAAAATTGCATTTCCAAAATTTCTTTTTCAAACATGTTTATTTTATCATTTAGAAACTTTTCCCAAAGTTTTACTATTTTTGGAAATGATTTAACATTTTTATTGTATTTTCAAAGTCAGCCAAAACAGGTTCAAAACCTATAAAAAATTATGTGTCAGTTTGCGGTCGACCGCCTGCAGTCCAGAAACCCAGCTTGCCTTTTTTATGGCTCGCGGTCGACTGTGACGGTCGACCGTAGCACATCCATAGACTTTCGTGGTCGACCGCCTGCTTTCAAAAGCCATATTACTGTTTTTTGTTCCTCGCGGTCGACCGCCAGCTTTTCACGATCGACTGCCGTATTGAACGTTGTGTTGCAACGGCTATTTTTTGATTTGATTCTCTAGGGGTATTTTGGTCTTTTCAATGTTGTTTTGGCTGATGTCTTGAGTGAGAATAAATACCCCAGTGCCTTCCTCTTTCAACATACCAAGAGTTTTGTTTACAGTGAGTTTTTATCAAAAGATTAGCAAGTGTTTAAGTTGGTTTTGTTGGTCTGTTTCAAAAGAAGTTTTTTACAGCAAGAAGAGGCTTTCAATTCCTACTGAGGATCACCATGCCTTTCTTGATCATTCCTATAGGATCACCATGCCTTTCTTGATCAATGGCCGGATGACGACCACACCGAGCAACCAGTGAGAAGCCTCCGCATATCACACAACAACTACCGCATAAAGTACGAATTCGAATGGAGAAGGAGATGACGACTATATGAAGGTCTATGGTGTATTTATTTCTCTCTCATCCATAATGGAAAACGCTATATCTGTAAATAAGAGCTTAGAGCAATGAATATCTTATCTCTAAGATAAGATATTATCCAACTGCTTATTTGGGTGTCTATCTCATAATCATAACAAATATTCCAGATAAGATCTCAACAAATAACAACATGGTCTCAAATAACACTAGACTGTAAAATAGTATATATATGATAATCCCTCAAGTCGGGACATTATAACAAAATCTACTACAATATTGGATGAAGAAGATACATGGACAGATGCTTGGATATAAAAGATATCCTTGCAGTCCTACAACCAAATAATAAAAATTGGGTGGTTAAAAATGTTAAGAAAACAACGGATCATACAAAACTTAAGGTGCTTAAAATGTTAAGAAAGCAACGGATCATATATTGCCCTCATGCACTCTCATCTTGTTAAATTTTAAGTTTTCCTCAAATTATTGTTGGATTTAATCTAATAAATCTATTTGTGGGCACATATGATTAATCAATGTGTATTGCTATCTTTCAGGATAACCCACTAAAGTGATCAATTAATTGGGTTAATGAGTATTTAAATAAGTCATGTGGTTATATATGCAGATACCAGGTTGTAATTGTAATTTGATGAGGGGCCAAATTACAAATGTACAACACCTATATATATGGGGTTATGGTCCCTAATCTAGGGTTAGCCACTCTCATTCTCTTATCCCCATCTAAAGAGATCCATAAGAGAGAAACCCTAAGGTTAGAAGATCATCAAAACCCTAATCAAGTTTTCTTCAATGGATTCAGGTATATGCTTCCGCACCTTTTGATTCTTGTTAATCTCTTTGAATTAAATCATGGCTTTATGGTTTAGATCTCAAGTTTTATTATTCAGATCTAACAAGTGGTATCAGAGCCACCATTGATTTGTTCTAAGAGATTAAGATTAAAATTAGGGTTCTTTGATCTTAATTTGTGTTTGATTCAGATCTGTTCACGGATGAACAGTAACGTTTTTTAATTATTCGGATGAACAGTAAAGTTCTTTATTTTCGGGCGAACAGTAAAATTTTTATTTTCGGATGAACAGTCAAGGTTTTTATTTTCAGATGAATAGTAAAATTTCTTGTTTGTTTGGTTTTTTCTTTCGATTTTTGGATCTGTAGCAATTATGAACTCTAAAGTTCATTTCTTTTGTGTTTAATTCAATTTTTGAGGTTTGGATCTAAATGATTTGAGTTCAAAAATCGACAGAAAAATAATTATCTTTTTTTTTGGGGGTTTTTGATCTGTCGTCAATCTTCAAAACTCCTCGCTGGAGTTGATTCAGCGGCGGCGGTTTCAGATTAAACCCTCAAGGGGTTCGTGCGCGTGAAAACGTGCGGAAATTAAGGAGGTGGTTACCTCAATTTTTGGCGAGGCTTGAAAGCTTCAAACGAACCTTACGTTCGTTCTCAAACAAAACTCGCGTTCGTTCTTGGGCGAGCTTCGTGCTCGATTCATACG